AGAGAGAGAGAGAAGAGGAGAAGGAGGAGGAGGAAGGGGGAAAGGGAGAGCCGAAGAAGAAGCAGTTGAACCAGAGTAAGTGACATGGGCATGAGTCCGCTGGAATCAAGCCAGCAGCAGAAACAAGAGAATTTGCATTCGACAGTGATGGTTTGTTTTGTGAAATGGTCAGATTGAGCTGATTTCTCATGACGCAATCCACAAAAATGATAACAACAATCAGAACAAAAAACTAAGTTAGAAAGGAGGAGGAGGACTGTGATAACAACAAGAAATGTATTGTAGGACGTGAAGCGGAAGGGAAGCAGCTTAGAAGCAGGAGGAGGTAGTAGGAGGAGAATGCACCGAGTGAGGAGGATGGAGGGGGAGGAGAATGCGCCGAGTGTAGAGGTGGAGAGGGACGAGGAGAAGGAAGACCTCAAGTGGACTTGGGTGCAAATCAGAGAACATGAAGAAGATGTTTTTCTAAATCAGATAACTTATGGAAGAGAGAGAAAGGAGGAGGAGGAGGAGGAGGAGGAGGAGGAGGAAAGGAGGAGCAGGAGGAGCAGGAGGAGCAGGAGGAGCAGGAGGAGCAGGAGGAGCAGGAGGAGCAGGAGGAGCAGGAGGACAAGTGAAGGAGGAACATGGTGGATGACGTAAGGAAGAAGAAAAGGAGGCAAGGAGAAGAGTCTGACTCCTTTCATATTGTCATGTCCGATACTACGAGATGAAGTTCCCCGGCCCATTGTCTGAGTATGTGCTCCGCAGTACTCTGCGCAGAGTCCCCATGTAACGAACAAAACATGCACAGAGCAAGAACATAGCACAGGTATATCTACTCATGGAAAAGTGACAGAAAAAGAGAGAAAATGCTACATACTAGCTCCTTACAGATGAAACAAGTAGACTTGAGTAAGTTGAGTGCATCAGGCTACCAAATGTGAGTGGCGACGGTGGGTGGACTCCTCTAGAAACATATGTGGTAAGAGATACTTCATGGAAGACAAAGACCTGCATCATTTTCTGAACACATCGCACATGTGTGCGGATGCAGGACAGCAGCCAAGGTGACTGCAGAGCGTCACAAAGAGAGGACGGACATAGCACCCGCATCGTACGGACAAAGCACGGAGATGGTACACGATGGCCAACAGAGATGGGAGTTGAACGGCATAAGCCTACTATGATGACAAAGCACAGAGATGGTACACAATGACAAAGCACGGAGATGGTACCGATGACAAAGCACGGACAAAGCACAGAGATGGTACACGATGACAAAGCACGGAGATGGTACATGACTGAACAATCAGGCCAATCGGAAGTCGTTGTCATGCCAGAACGATGTCTATCATGCAGATCGATGTTCAGTCTTTTGTCTCAGCACAAAATCCAAGAGAGCAGTGCAAGCTTTGTAAAGTCGATCGTACGCAATTACGTCATTCGGATGCATAATCAATATTAATCATGCATTTGCCTTTTTTCTTTCTGAGCTCGTTGTTCACTTCTGGCAGTGCATGTTTTGCTATAAGAGAAGAGCATGGTCGTTTGTCCGTGCGGGAGTTGCCATTGTATTCCATTGCCTTGTTGCCGGATATGTCCTTCATCGGTGCAGCAGCACAGGCAGTTTGCACTGAACACGAGGAAGGCAAATCATTCATTATAATTTAATATGTAGTATGTACTTGTTTTGCTGTAAAATGGGAGTATAATGTTTTGCTTCTGCTGGTCAGAAAAGACAAAGAACTGTTGAGTGAACTGGTTTCTCCATTGGTAGATGATCACTAACTCAGTCTAATCCTGATGTGGCTTGTGCATTTGCCAGGGCCGGATCTGTAGTGTACATGTACTACACGTCCACTTGGGCTTCCATGACTGCACTTGTTGGGAAAAGTCCGCGTGTGAATGTGCCTCTGAGCGATCCCAAATACACTGTGCTGATGTGCTGTGAAACGGTTTTCACCTTTCTGAAGTCACAGATGCGGGCACTAGAGTTCGATCCCCAGACCTTACCTTGCCCATGTACAGTATCGAGCTGACCCCCGAGTGTTTGAACCCGTGACCTGTATTTTTGGTAGTTGTTCGATGTCTGTCGTAGGTCTGTGTAGTTGTAGGGGTTCGATCTGTAGGTCTGTCGAGTAGGGGTCACAGCTCTGTAGAGGTCGTAGCTGTAGATGTTCTGAAAGGTCAAGGTCGTAGCTGCTACAGTCCTGAAAGGTCTACGTCGTAGCTGCTACAGTACTCAAAAGGCCAAGTCCACAGACTTCCGGAAGGTCCGGAAGTGGCCATTCGAAGTTGTCTCACGTTTAGTCAGAGGCAAGTGGGCAAGTGGTGAGTCCTACCGTGCTGAGTCAGCGGTACCAGTCCCAGTCAATCACAGTCCAGTCAAGCAAGTATCGTGTGGGACTGTGTGCACCAAGGGCATGGGAAAGGGGCAGACCAACGAGTTACAGAAGTATAAATCAAGAGGCAGCGCCCCGCCATTCATCCATTCTGCTGTGCGCTATGCGGAAGCGCTGCCCGAGCGTCTTGTGCGAAGGTGGTCTGCAGATGCCCGTAGTTGAAGTGGGCGAGAAGAGTGACAGTGTTAGTAGTAGAGTTAGCAGCGGCCATAGCCGCCGAGGTTAGAGATAGG